CATAGGATTAATTTATAGTTGTGTACTTGTGTTGAGTTGTACTTCCTCCATAGAAATATATTATGAAGTATGTTATATTTTGGAAAAGGTATAGATTTTCATCAACAATTAATCTTAATCAAATTATAAGTATATTTAGTATATAACAATTATATCAATCAAAAATATATATCGGTTTGTAAAAATGTTGGCTCCATATATTGTAAGAAAATCTATTTTTATGAACAACATCTAAAAACTTATTCAAACTGAAATGCATCTATATTTTTTCACATAGGGGGGTTTTATTGAGTATAAGTCGGACACAGGCACGACAGTTATATTTTTAATTTTATGTAGAGATGAAACATATAATTATGGTTTGTATTACAAATCATATTAATTTTAGACCAAATATTTTATTCATCTATCATGCCCTTCCAATTGTTTCAAAATATATGCAATAATATTGTTGGTTATATCTAAGATATAAAAAAAATATTGTGTGGATAAGCCAAAATATCATAAGAAGTTGTACAAATTATCGCAATCCACCTCAATGGCAAACAGTCTTAACCTACCAATATATGTATTATTTATGGAGATATAAATTAATTAAAGCTGAAAAAGATAAATAGAGATATAATTGTGATCTCCACCAACAGGTGAACCTTGTGGAAATATACAACATCAATAGAGAATTAGGGATAGAGCGGCCGGTCTAGGATTTGAGGAAAAAATGTCGATAGTACACATAAAATTTTCTATACATCAGAGCGTGATGTATACAATGCGAATGGTGAAAAATAACATTATCTGATATGTGCACATGATTTTTGCAATTACATAAATGACGCACAAGCATGCACACGTCATTCTATAGTACGCATGCGCCATAAGTGCGCCCCTTAAGAAATGTCCAGAGAAAAAAAGGGAGTAATTAACCAAAAGTTAAGAAAAACTAAACGGCGAGCACAAGGGCGTTCCCAACCCAATGACTAGGATGGTGTCCATAGCATTAAATAAGTTACCACCTAGAATAAAAAATGATGTGGCAAGTGAATAAATGAGGAAAGAGAAGGAAACCATGTCTTGTATGAGATATGGTTTCTACACAACATCCAAGATATCATGTGATATAAGTAGCATTAAATTGAAGTATGAAATAGTGGTGTTTGCATTGGAATAGTAGTGTCTAGTACTAGTTTCTTGATGATGTGGAGTTTATAGAAACCATGTCTAGTGTTATGGGCTGGGACTGCCCTAACAACCGCATGTAGGAGTACATGATTTTTTTTCTTCTTCAATTCATCATTTTCTTTTCTAATTTTTATCACGAGGTTGGTCGCGGATAGTGGTCCATCTATTTTCTCTTTATTTCTTTCTCTTTTCTTATGTTTGCACACACCATTGCATGCGTTATGTATGTCTTGGCAATTACTCCTACTAGCTAGCGCGCACACAGTGGCGTCGCACTCCGTAATTAACGTGGACGTAGCGCATATGCTTTAGTCAAGATCCCAAACGAAAATCAAGTGAAAACCGTACAAACCCTTCACATTTTTCTCCCCCAACTTGTCCATGTGTATGGCTTAATCTTAAATCTTTGCTCATGAATCTTTAATCTTTTGCTCATGAATCACGGGATAAATCTCATCCCATCAAAGTCCGTTTCAATCCCTTTATTCTCGCTACCCCCTCTTGTACACTGTACACGTACTCCACGGCCTCGACTTATGAATCACGAGGGAACTCAAGTACGTGAACGATTAATTTGATAGCGATCGAACTGGGATCGAATATATCTAATTAATTATACTAACAATAATCATATCCGGCCTAATTGATTGGTAAATTAAGCCGTGTTAACTTATCTAATTTAATTTAATTTGGAGCGGTGGTATACTGCTTGCTTGTACGGGGTCATGTGTTCGCACATTTGGCTTAATTTCATCGAAACGGGGAACAGGGACAGCGACTCGTAGCCCAACTTGCAGAGAAGAGAAGAAAAAAGGGAGAGGGGAGAAAATAATTAAGTTGCCGCGTGAGGTCGGCGTCATGCTGCCGGATTAAATTAGTCACGTGTTTAGCAACGTGCGTGGAATTTTATTATAATAATTTTTAAATTACTCCCTTTATTCTCTTTTATAGACGATGTTGCTGGTTTTTGGATATACCGTTTGATGATTCTTCTCATTTAAAAGTTTAGGGTAGATGTGCAACAAATACTACAAGTTATAAGTTAGTAGTATAAGTAATGGTTAAAATATTTTTAATTGATAAAACGAGTCACAATAAAATAAATAACATTCATACGTATGTTTTTAATAAACTGTATAAATGATCAAACTTATTAAAAACATTAGTCGTAAATAATTAAGCAATTTGTTGCATTAATAGGGAAAATGAAAAGGGAAAAGAGGCAGACAGATTGAGCAAGTTTAGCTTTCTCGCACCAGCTAGCGCACACGATGTTGGATTGATTCTTTCGGCTGTGGAGGCGTGGTAGGGCCGTAATTGATTTGTTCTTTTTTATTTTGGTTTGATCCGTCGAGCGCAGCCGTCTGCTACATGACTTCGTAGTACTTTTGTGTTGAAAATTTTGCAGATACCAGTACTACTAGTACATTGGATGAGCGTATTATTGTTGTGATAGAAAAGTATAAGTAAATGGGAATAATTGGAGTCAACCACGCATGTTAATTGCAGTGATGATCGATCATCACCACGCAAGGGCCTCCATGATTCCAGGAGCGCAGCTACGAACCAGTCAGCAGTAGGTAGTGGTAGAGACGTGGAGTAGATCATTATTGAACTAGTCAGACAAATTTTTCGCTCAATTGTTTTTCTTTTCTAAGCCCGTGGTCGTATTTGTTGAGCTATACAGGTCGCTCATTCAGCAGCACCCATGTTTCTAATTTGCAGACAGAAATGGTGCATATCCACATAATGATTTTCTTTTTCTTTTTGGAGTCAGCGGAAGGAAAATAGAGACACGTCAAATTTTCAAACTATCGTGATCCATTACTAAGCATATTGGGTGCGGAAGAACACTCTGATACTCTGGTTGTAGTGACCCGAGTAGGATCCTAATGTTTTGAGTTCAAATATCTATATAAGTGAATTTTAGATTTGGTTATTTGAGGGACAAAGTTTTCAAATTAAAATGACTGCATATATCTGGTTAAATATATATGCCGGTAAAAAGTACCATACTCTTAGTATATTGGATATGTATATTAGATGTATGAAAATTATATTTTAGTCTTTCCCAAAATTTTCTTCTGGCTAAATAACGACAATGGCTCTATTCGGCAGCCATACAAGCTGCTGCGGCTGCTACATCAGAAATTTGCTGCAAGCTGCAGCAATTCTTAACTACTGCAGCTGCAGCCACAGTTGAAAGATACCAGCCGAACACACCCAATTAGTACTACTCGTATACTGGCAACCAATCGGTTACTGTTGGTTAAAAAACATTTTAAAATTTTAAAAATAGGTTTGAACATTCGCAAGATAACGATATGTTTTACGAAACCGATATTCTGAACATAAGTCATGACAACAGCTGGTTGCAGAGGAGGAAACAGGGGGGAAGCTGATACATGACTGGTGGAGGATTAAGGTGGCTGCCATTTGGGGACTCTAGAAAGACTTAATTGTTGGAGTTAGAAATACTTGATCGTTACCTCTTTGTAAAATTCCTCTTTGAATTAGAAATATTTGGGGGATGCTATGGTCAATCCTTTTTCATTGATGAACTTGACACTATTTAAAGAGGTATTTGTAAAATTCCTCTTTGAGTTGGAAATATTTGGGGATGCTATAGTCAATCCTTTTTTCATCATGAATTTGATACTGCCTAAAGAGTATAAAAAATGATGCAAGGAGAAAGAAGCGTTGCTCCAAACAATTTTTAAAGAAGAAATTGTAAGTATGTTGGACATTGAATACGGGATCTTATAGTTGAAACCACATACCCCTTGCCACTATACTATCAAGTGCATTTAAAAAACTATTTAAAGAGGTATCAAGGTAATATATATTATAATGCAATTTTTTATACCTCTCCACCTTTTATACTACACTATACGGTGCAAAATTAATGATGCATTTTCAAAAATGCAAACTATATATCGGAGTGGTATATATTCCAAACGCTAACGATGTAATATGCTGGTACATCAGCGATAAAGGAAAGATTCTTAGTGTACATTTTCCTCTGAAACTTTCGAATATTCAGCAGAATCTGCAAACGCGCAATATGGAATATCGTGGCAAGAGAAGGCTGTTTTTTTTTTTTTTTTGGAGAACCAGAGAAGGCTGGTTGAACTTGGCTCTCCATTGTGATCAACTCCCGTTTAGTTTACTCCCCCTCACTCTTGACTACAAGCACACGCACGCTACACTGACCCGATGTTCGGTGTCGTAATTAAACACGACGCATGTTTCTTAATTAGCTTAGTCGGAGCTTTGAAATGGTAAACATGTAGACGCACGCCAAGTCTCGGGGAAGACGACGTGTAACGACTACAAATAATACACATTCATGCACGTCTCCTCTTTCTTACTCGTTCCTACTTCCTACTCCTCGGCACATGAAACTTTACACGTATGAACCTACTTTCCATCAAGGCCCCGGCATTTATGTGATTGATTAACAGTTATTTTTTTATATTACACCCTAAATTCATATCAATTTTCAATATTATAATCCTATTTTTCCCACGTATTCGCATCACAATTCAAATACCATGCATCCCAATATCACATTATCTCATCTGGAATATATATCATGCTGCTTATATCTTTTTTTTTCCGAACAGTTAGACCGTTGCCAACGTTTTATATAAAGAAAAGGATGTCTCATTTTAAAAGGAAAACGAGACCAAATCTTAAATTACACGGTTAATTAAAAAAAAAGACGAAAACCACAACTACATCTACACTCTAGCTACCTAAGCTATAAATGCGGAGCCAAATGCAGCCGTCGAGATTGATCATATTGAAAACATGGCATGAGAACATGAACCATCAGAAGAGGATAATACCATTTGTTGACCATTTTATTTGGATTTACAAGCCATAGGTCCGACAGGCATCAATCCGTGTGCATGGATCCTTACATATAAGATCAGCATGCATGAAAGAATTCTTCAAATAATCAAAGAATTCTCAAACAAACAGATAAGCTGACAGATTAATTTAACCAATCATAGCTGCTACCTAGCTACTAATTCCCCCGGAAGAAACCAACAACTGTTGCAAAATAGTAAGAAATGGGGAAAAACGATCAATAATACACGGTTCCACACTTTCCACAGACACGTGGAAATCAAATGGTAAATCAATACAGTACTACTAGTAGTAGTAATTAATTTTTCCTTGTTTGATCCAGCTATCTTCAGTTTCTTCGGCTCACAGGCTGAGAGTGGGGTTCACCTGGAGCCACGACGCGCCGCCATCGTCTTTCTTGGCACGCTTGCTCGACTCCGCCTCCTTCTTCTCCGACTCCGGCAGTGGCTCCGCCACGACGATCCTGTTCTTCCTCTTCTCCAGGAACCTCTGCAGCGACACCTTCCTCGCGATGGGCATGTCTGCAGAAACGTAGACACGTCAGTTGGTTGGTGAGGTGATCAGTGTGGATCGGGTCGTCAGTGAACTTTGCCCGGTGCATGCATGTGTACGTGTGTGTTTGGAGTACTAGTCCTACCTGGTAGGCAAGGCTGCCCCGCTGCGGCGCCGGCGTCTGAGACGGCCGCCGCCGCCGTGCTGTCGCGGGAGCCGGCGAGTTTCATCAGCTCGCCGGCCTTCTCGGCGGGGAAATCGTCGAACACCACCACGCTCCCGCCGTAGAAGATGGTCAGCTGCGCCTTCTCGGTGATCTCCTTCCTAACAAAGAAGAAAAAAACACTTGCAGCTTTAGCATCGAACCAGCTACTAGTTTCGTCGATGAACTCTCGCGTACTAGGTGCCAGTATTCCGGCCTGTTTGCTCGTACCTTTCTTGCGTGTCTTTCAGCGTCCCAGCCTGCTGAGGGAAGAGCTCCATGGTCTTCCTCACCTCCGGCGCCTCCTCCTCCGCATCAGCGCCGCCGGTCATGAGGCTCATGGCCGTCACCGCCGGCAAGAAGCCACCGCCGCCGTTGCTTCCACTGTGCTCCTTCATGTACTGCCTGAGCAAGCCACACGTCACCGCGAACCTGCTCCCGTTCCCGGCCACCGTCGTCGCCGCCGCGTTGGCGACCAGCTGCTGCTCGCTACTACCGGCCATGTTGTAGCTCTAGCAAAATCAGCTAGCTCACATCAAAGCTCGGGAAATACACTTTGGCTTCCTGCTGCAAGAAACGAAACGAGGACGAAACCTTCCCGTGAATCTGTAGCCTGTCTCCCTCTTGTTATATACTAGGTGTACATGTGGAAGGAAGGAAGACGAGGCCTAAACGCCTAGTATAATCTTTGTTTCTCGGGTAGGAAAGCGGCACGTGAAACGCGAGCGGAGGGAAGCGCGGCGCCCGCGCGGAAAAAAAGACGAGAAATTGCGGGCACGCGCCGCACGTCTCTCGCTGTTTTCGCGGTGGTTGTTCGATCGGGTCGGGACGTTGGGTTGGGTTGGGTTGTTTCGGCGGCGGCGCGCGCTACCTCTGCCTCCGCAGCGTGGCTGCGTGGGGGGGATCACGTGCGTCGTGCGGCCGCGCCAGCGATGCGGTGTAAATCCACCGGTGGTGGTGGCGTGCGAATGGGGCAAATGACAACGCTGGGAAAATGGTCTGGTTGGTTTTGGGTTAGAGCAAATATAATAGTAAGCCTGCTAAATGATAAGGTGGAGGAGAGAAGAGAGGAGAGAGAGGAGAAGCGAGCTGTAAACTTAACAGCCGGTTTGGACATAAGAACCAAGAAACTCTGTGAGAGAGGCAAGTGTACCCAATATTAATGATAAAAAGCTAACTATATTATAAAGGTACGCTGAGAGAATACTATAAAGAACCTTATAGCCAGTAAGTTGGCTGTATTATTAATCTTGCTCTTATCGGTTAAAGGCCCTATCTAGTTCCCACGTAAAAACTTTTCACCTTGTCACGTTAAATGTTTAGTCACATGTATAGAGTATTAAATAAAAAAAATTACACAGATTACGTGTAAATTACGAGACAAATCTTTTAAGCATAATTGCTATATGATTTGATAATATTGTACTACAGTAAATATTTATTAATGACGGATTAATTATACTTAATAAATTTGTCTAGCACTTTACAAGCGGAATATGTAATTTGTTTTTGTTATTAGTCTACGCTTTTAAATATGTGTATGTATATCCGATGTGACTCGTGAAAATTTTTCACCCCTAAAACTACACATGGCCTAATTTTTGGTTTACTCTGGCCGGCTACGGCTAGCGGGGCATGTACAGTACGTACGCACGCACGCACGCACATGGTGGTTAGGTTTGGGCACCGTTTGGGCCCTCATGTATGCTCCATCGTGTGTAAAGAAACGTGTCAAGCAAGTGCGCCCGTGTGCACGTTGAGTCTGAGGCTGGAGGCTGTGCACGATCCAAAATTAGGTGGGGGTGAAAAAGATTTTCTTTTGACTATCCGTTTTTCTACAGGAAACCCTCCTTTTCTTTCGTCTAAACAATATTGACTGTGACTAAAACGTGAAGATTGGTTGAAGATGGCATTTTAATCGATTGTAGTATATTTTTTCTTGGCATCAAACCAACTTATATATAACATGTGTTACTGTGCATGTGGCACCTAGGTGCATTGATGGAATGTTTACAATGAACGATTCTTTTCTTTATTTTTTTTCTGGTTATGACCTCCTATGATTGTAATCTTATAATTTTTTCTACTCTATCAATATAAACTTTGCACTGTTTGATGTGAGCCGTTAAAAAAAACAGCCTACGCAACCAAGCAAATCCATGGTTCAGAGACACTAAAAAATGAAAAAAAAAATCCAATTCCGTCATACATGCATAATATAGAGTTGTCTCGTTGCCTTAGGAAAAACAGTTAAGCTATGCGTCATGTTTTTAGAATAAAAAGAAATTATTTGATAGTTGTACTCCATTTTTTCCAAGGTTTGACGAGAACTGGCAAACTGTTATAATTTCTCAGAGAGTCTATGCATGCGAAGGATTATTTTTCGACGAGAACTGGCCCGACGTAAAGCTTCTAGGAAATGCATGAGTGCACGACCAGCCGTCTCGATGAATATTTTGTACTTGCAAGGTTGCAAAGTGCACGTTCTCTTAATAAAATACTTCAACTAATTAACAACAGAAAATTCTCAGAATGATGTATATTAGGGTAAATCAAAGAAATAAAGTCTCTGAAAAAGCAAGTGACGATCGATTAGAAATCGAAAAGGAAAACAGCATGAAGGCCAATGCCATGCACGAGACGTGCAGAGGTGGTGGCGCCACTCGGCCACTGCACCCGAGGCTTAATTAGCCAGCACTCAACTGTGTACTTTGAAGAAGAAAACTCGACACTACCGAAGACGACACGCTCCAAAGGGCACACATGTCACAAAATCCGGTCGTTCAATTTTCAGAGTCGTCGCGGTTACAGACAGCAGCGTACGAAATGTGGGGCCCACATGGCGATCGTCCCGGGCGCCGCAGTCGCTTACATGTGGGGCCATGGCGCACCAGTGCGCACCATAGTTCTCTAGCATAGTATTATCGATCAACGACCACATGACGGCAACAATCGAACCGGGCAAGAAAGTTCCTTGCTAGCTAGGACGAGACGACGTTTCGTCGCGTTGGCGTGCAGCCCCCAGCTCTCGCTTTCGGCTGCTAGAAAGAAACACAGAGAAGAAAAACTAATTAAACGAGCTTAAGCTAGTGAGTGCGTACACGTCGCGCATGCACCGGCCTGTAGCATCTTGCAACAACAAACAACTCGCTGCAAGCTGATCACACGCTAAGCATAGTTTACGAGCGATCGGTTTGTCCCCATTAGTATGTTAAGCTATCGGCCAGCGGCGCAGGGGAGGATCAGTTTGATTAAGCGAGTCCTAGATAAAAAAAAAACGTCATTAGATTAAGCGAGGGACGTCGTATCGTAGGCATCGAGTGGTTGGGTTTCTACCGCTTTTGCCGCGTGAACGACCCATCCGTTCTCGTACGTACGTAACAGAGAATTTAGCCGGTTAGGCCCTCACGACCCGGCGTTGCGTGTCGCCATCGCGCAGCTGTGTTCTGCTTTGCCGGGTAGGCGTTTTTTCCCCAACTCGTCCGTCCATTCATCCTCCCCGGCCGATCGACAGAACGAACGGCAAGGCGCGGCGTACGAACCAAACGGGAACAACGTGCATTGCTGCTTCCGGCAAAGTTTTTTTTTTCTTTTATAGGCTCGGATGAATGGACGGGCCGCGAGCGGCAGGTAACGTAGCTACTAGTAGCTAGTAGTAGCCTCATCTAGTTAGGCCGTGTGCTGGGTTGTGCAGGTTAGGCCGTGTTCGGCTTGGTTTTAGGCCTCCTGGGTTCCTCGAATAGAATGGCACCGTGCGAGTTGCGCAAAAATTCTTTTGCGCATGTGGAGTATATAGAAGTGGCTCATTTCGATTTTCAACAGATTATTAATTAATTGATTGATTGATTGATTAATCCGTTGTGAATCTAAAAAGAAATATTCGTTGTCATCTGAATCATGCAGATCGATCGAGTTAACAGATATGGTCCGAACCTGTCGGGCGAGTTGACAGATATCTAACGGTGGGCTGGCCGTCGATCTTATCGATCGATGTAACAACCAAAAGCAAGAGAGTGTACGTACGTAGTACGTGTTTCTCCCCGGAACGAGGAGGCGGTTACCCGTACGTCGACGCGAAACGGAGGAAAGACCATTTCAAACCGAATCAGGAGGGGGTTGGGTTTGCATGGCGGTTGGCCTCGCGCGCGCGTCTTCGTCGCGTCATGCGCGCCCGGCCACGTTTTCCTCACGCTCGCGCGCGCGCGCAACCTCCACTAATCAATCGACCACACGTTTCGCCCCGCATGCCCTCTATATAGAGCGGTTGAGCCAACCTCGCAACCAACCATATGTGATCAGCGACGTACAGTACAGATCGTTCGCAATAAAGTTAGACTTCTCGTCTCTCTTTGTGCTTGTGCTTAGTTGTCCGTGCTAGAAGACGGCAATGGCGTCGACGGATCCCATGACCCGCCGCTTCGCCGTCGCGTGCGGCGTGCTCAGCCAGTACGTCAAGGCCAACTCCTCGCAGCCGTCGACGGCGGCGCCGGTGGCTCAAGGTGTGAGTGGCCTCATGGCCGCCGCCGCCGCCGCCGCCGCGGCGCCTGTGGTCCAGGAACCCGGATGCGAGGTGGACGGCGGGGGGCAGCAGTTCACGATCTTCTACGCCGGGAAGGTGGTGGTGATCGACCGCTGCACGCCGGCCATGGCGGCCGAGCTGATGCGGTTCGCGTCGGCGGCGCAGGGCGGCGGCGGCGCGCCAGAGGCGCCGCCCGCGCTGGTGGACATGCCGATCGCGAGGAAGGCGTCGCTGAAGCGGTTCCTGGCGAAGCGCAAGGCCACCCCCGCCTCCGCGCGGTCGTCGTACGTCGTCCGTGCTGCGGCGGCGGAGGAGGAGCAGCCGCCGGCGAAGAAAGCGAAGGCGGCCGTGGAGAGGCGCGAGGATTGGCTCGCGCTGGGAAGCCTTGGACACATGCACTCGCGCTGATGATCATCGCCACGACGTCACGTCTGCGATTTGAGAATTGAGAGCTCGATCGATTGATCGCCATGTGGTCACCCGGTAGCCGATGCTGCAAGGCCGGTCGAGTTGGAAGATGGTTCTCGTCGCATTAACGGCCTTGAGTTGATTTCGCCGAGCCTGACCTTGAGTTGATTACCATGGAAGTATGAAGATTTCGTGATTAGCAGTTACCCTAGTTATCGCGGCGTATAATTAAGCACGGTCACTGAAGCGCAATGGCCTTGAGTCGGTAGATCAGGACTAGAGAGGGGTGTATGGATCTGACAAGTACTGTAGTATATTGTATCCCGTTTGAATTTTTTTTCGATTCCTATGGGGACTGAATTGATTAATGATATAAAATTCCTTCGACTGTTCTGAAATTCTTGCATTTACACATGGTGATTTTGTTCTGTGATTTTAGCCGTGTTTAGTTCACCTCCAACTATCCCAAACTTCCAACTTTCCATCGCATCACATCACATCCAAAACTTTCCTACACACATAATCTTCTAACTTTTTTTTTCAAACTTCCAACTTTCCCCAAACTTTCAACTTTTTTCAGGAACTAAACACAACCTTTACATAGCACTCCTGAGAAATTCTGCTTTACACATGGTAATTTGATCCACGATTTATAGAGCACTCGTGTGAAATAGATCTGCGTTACGCTTGGTGATTTGTTCTATGATTTATAGAGCACTATAATTCTTCTGCTGCTAGGTATGAATGTATGATCGGTTTCTCATATAGTCATATGAATGCCCCGCAAAGAAAATACGAATGAGCTTTGTGGATTTTCCTTTAAAACAACATAGTAGTAATAAGTAAATAAACATAGTTTAAAGGTTAGAGATACTATATGTTTCTGAAAAAGGTGAGTTTAAACTAACTTTTTTCTTTTAGTGTACGCGAAAAGAAAAAGGTGAATTTACCGTTCTTGATAGATACCGACTTTTATAGTATAGTATAAATTTTGCTTGAAGGACCGTAAAGCGCACAAACGCACATCTCAAGAGATTGAGCCAGCACTAGAGACCTCCAAGACATTGATAGGTAAAACGTACAGTACTTGATAGCTACTGAATTTTATAGCAAATATTAAATGTGAGCCTCATTCCAAATCTATAACTTAAGCCCAATTGAATGGGGAATGGATTCTAATAACTCGAGTGGATGTTCTGTTGCATAAATTTTGCTTTCAAATTCAATATAAATAGTTGTATTTTTTTTTTGAAAAAATAATGATAATATAGAGCATAGTGATATTTACCGCTCCACTAAAAATCAAGTTAAAATTCGACCTACACATTGAGGCAAAAAAGACAAATTCGGACGTGAATATTATTCGTGCGCTGAATTTGTCCTTATTATATATTGATGTGTGAGTTGAGTTTTGAGTTAAAATTTTGTGGAGTGATATATATATGTTGTATAAGTGTTGTCATATTTTTCAAGAAATTTTTATAACGGTTTGAATGGTTTTTAGACAAATGAGAGGGCATCCCTCGAGGGATTGAAATAGTTTCCTATAGTTGGATACGTTTTACCCAAAAAAACCTAATCAGTTGAGCAAAACTACTTCATAGTTGTTCTGCTATATTGATATTATTGCTAGTGACCATTGCCGGCAACAGATGCTAATACCAAACAATCATACATACTCCTGCATTGTTAACACTTAATTGTAGCAGTTAGCCTTACTCCTGGAAGTGCCCCATGCGCTAGACAGTGTGTATTGCTCGCTAATTTTCTCTGCCCAACTTGACGTACGGGACCAATCAATAATCCATCAACAAGGGGGAAGTTAATTAATAACTTAATCAACTGGCGAAATCATGGGCAACATGTTACATGTGCGCGCGGCCGGCCGGCCGGCACCTCTCTCGAGTTCCCATCGGTGCTAGATTTTGTTTCCCATGCGACAAAGCAGATATGCACCAGCTGGGCGTACCACTCAACACTCATCAATAATCATCGCGCAGCTAGCATATCTGCATATGGCATCCTCCCGTGCCAGCCCTGCCTTTCCGTCACGCGAGCGCCTAATTGTTGGGCATCTCTCGCCCCGCGACCCGCGTCCGGCCGCGACGTCGACGCGGCCAAGCCACCGTGCAGCTGCCTAACAACCCGGCACCGCACCGCACACGGGAGGAGACGACGACGCGCGCGCGCGCGCGCGCGATCGCATCCACACACACATGGCCCGCGTGCGCGACGCGAGTACGCGACCCGGCCGTCGATCTCGCTCATCGATCACGCGGCAGATCGAGGGGTTTTAGCTCGCGCGGCGCGTTTCCCGTGAGAGACCGACCCACGCGTAGGGATGCAAACGGGACGGGCAAACGAATTTTTTTTAGCCTGTTTATCTCATTTTTAATTTATTATTTTTTCTTCTAAATTTTATATTACCATATGGGAAATAAAACTAGTAAGCGGATTTTTAACGGTGTGCCGAGACCGATAGAGGCGGCCTCCAGCTCCACGCGGTTGCGCGGGTGGGAGCGAATTTGGGGTGGTGGACGGGGACGCGGACGCGGCCGGAATAAAGGTGAGAGGAGGGGCTAGTTCGTTTTACCATGCATGGATGCGTTTGCCTCCTGCAGGATCGGGGGGAGAAAGCGTGTCCCCTCTAATGCCGGAGTTTGTTGCAACGCAAGGTTCGTGTGACCGCGCGAGCGAGCGAGCGAGCTGATGGGTAGTAGTAGGAGGGGGCGAAGAAAAATGTGTTGCTCGATATGCTGCCGGTGGGCGGTGGTGCGTTGAGTACGTGTTCATTGTCACTGTCAGCTAGTTGAATCCGCATCGCAATTCGCAAATGAGTACGGTTCTCATTTCCCTCTTCGCGAGGGAAAGTATGAGACACTGACTGGGTTCTACCGCAAGTTGCATAATTTTTTCTCCATTTTTTTTCCTTATGAACGGTAGCACCTCCGAAGAACAGTACGGAGTACATTAGTACGAGGCAAACATCCTGTGATCCGTATTGTACGGCCGTGCGGCTGGTACGTACATAAATAGGAGCCGTGCTGCGTGTGACGACGCTACGTACGTAGTACGTGTGTACCTAGCTGTGTGTCTCGCGGAACGTTTGTCCCGTCTTACCAAAAACCTGAGAGCCCAACGAACGTGACGCGACTTGTGAGGCCCAAACAGGAGGCGTCGACGTTCATGTGCTCCCGTTTTTCTGGACAGCTCTGCTACCTACTATTCCATACTCGGTTGTGGATGATCGAGTCTGGACTCGTGACTCGAGAGCTATAAGCTAGCCCCCCATGGTTCCCGTGGACTTGGAGAGACCCAGCTGTGGTCGCGAACACGCGTTCCGGCATCCAATTGATCGCGGGCACGAGATGCGTCTCGTCGTCGTATTTCCTGCCATCTTCCGGCTGCCATCGGTCCCCGAGGGAGGTTCAGGCCACCGTCTTCGGCTTGAAGCGTTGGGTAGCCGGCCAGACAACTGGCTGCCGCATCTACTGCTAGCGGTTGCGGAAACAATACAATAAGCGTGATAAAAACTCTGGCGATCACAGCCCGTCACATAGCCACGATTACATGAGATTCTGCACAGTTATCTGCTGTGCAACCCGTTGCCCCAAGGTCAGACTGCTGCCAGCGTTCGCCTGTTCCCAAATCCCAAGTACTTCCCATGGATGGAAGGTGTGTTCGTCAGGGAGTTACAGTGCAAAGAATGCGACAAAGTTCTGATGATATCGCCAGGACGCCAGACCATCCATGTTGACTAAAAAAGTAAAAATACAGCAAAGGCCATTTCTGAATGGGCCTCAATCCCAGCCCGTCCACGTGCATATATAGGACGGGATTTCCTTTAGTTAAAATCCCAGCCCACTTACAATGAATGGGCCGGAATTCTGGCCTGCCAAACAAGGACGAGAGTCGCGGTGGTTGGACTCCTCGGGGAGGAGCAAGAAGACGAGCCGTCGCCCGTCGGAGGCAGCCGGAGGAATCGTCCCGTCGTCCGGCGTCCCCCCCTGTATCCCCCTCCCCTCGCACGGCGATCGGATCCAGCGCACGGGTGGGGAAGCAGGCGGCGCCGCTCTCCCCCACGCACCCGAAGTGCGGCGGCGGAGCAGGTATGCCCACCCACCCCAACCCTAGAAACTCGCCCCTCTTCCGCTCGATTTTGCCCATTCCAGATCAATGTCAGAACAACCTGACTTGACTTTAGGACAATGAAATTCATGTATGTTCCTAAGCGATTGCTGATGATTAGGACTAGTCCCCTTTGCTACTTGTAGAACTGTGGAATACACAGTACCGATACTATCCGAGTGTTGGTTGCCAATCATTCGTACAAACTAATGAATCTCCAGTTGCGTTCAACAATATGCGAAACAACGAATTAATTTACATGAGTATAAACTCACTAGCATATATTGCATCCCTACATTCTTGTTCCGTCAACAGAACATTGTTGTATTGATGTAAAATAGTACAGACGTATTCTCTAATTGAGCATAAATGCGGTGAACAGAAAAATAACCAAGAGAACCGTTGTCCATTTTTTATCTACTCCTCCCTTCCTGGATGTTTGGAGCTAATACCTAGCTAAATTAAATGCCTTTTCAGGAACCTCACTTCTTGGTGGCGGTTGAATCTGAAATTTCCAAACTCGGAAGGCTAGTAGGCAATGGCCGTGGCACTAGAGGCAGGGAGGAGGAAGCGAGCGGCGGTGGTAGTTCTGGGAGACATTGGGCGCAGCCCGCGCATGCAGTACCACTCCCTCTCCCTCGCCAACCAGGTATTGATCCCCTTCCCAAACCCATCATCTCATATTAGTTCTGTTTTGTTTTGATTGGGAAAGCTTAGTCCCTCCAGCTAGCTGTAGGTGTATTTCGATGTGCTGTGATAGTTAATATTCCTTCATGAATTTTGCACTTAATTCATCACTTCTCTAGTGTAGCATATGGTCCTCGGTTAGATAGCAGGGTAATAACTAGTAAAGAAAGGAGATGTGGTGTGTGTCAGTTGTGCGATTGCACAGATGAAGTAACTAATGCAGTGGTGGTCATTTGCACCCCCTGAAAGCGTGAGCGGACATAGCTTCGGGTTGATTAATGCCCTTGATTTTTGGTTCTCCCTTAAAAATGTGTCTTTTTTTTCTCCCTGAAAGTGTGATTACACGTGCAAATATTAGTCCTGTTAGATAAGACAGGTTTTGAAATGAAGAGAAGAAAATTGCCTTGCATTTACTAAGCATATATATTTTCTTCAAGTGGCAAAAAAATTGTGATATTGGGACATGCTATGTGTTGGGAAGAACCAACTCTATGTGCATATGTCTCTATGTTTTAGTTAATTAGTCATTCTTTATTTTTCTTGACAGGCTGGTATGGAAGTGGACATTGTTGCAAATGGAGGTATTATTCTTTTTGCAGTTTCATTGTACTTTTGGATTTTATTCATTTATACCTTCCACTTAGTGCACATCATACAGGCTGAGTTTCCAACAACTTTCGACCTTCTGTTGCGTCTTTTGTTGAAATTTGACCTATGTTCTGCTTTGGGTAAATGAGCAGGAAGTGACCCGCATCTATTATTGAGAGAAAATCCATCAATTCACATCCATGAAATGGTACTGATTGTTTGAAAGCATTACGCTGTTCTCTAATTTTGTGTACTATTAACTTTTGAATTGTACCTTCTAGAAATCAGTGCAGTTAACAGGAATATTAAAGATATCCGGTGCCCTGACACTGCTACTTAAAGCTGCCATCCAGTTTATCATATTGATTTGGTACCTTTGTTTCAAGATTCCTCGCCCTGATGTCTTCATTGTTCAGGTCAGTTTTCACAAAATTGCATTGAGCTTCTTTAGTCGCATGCATGGTTCAGAATTACATGGACAATTTATAGTTTTCTGCAATTACTATCAGTCAATAGTGTGGAATTCTTCTATAGTTCATCATCTATCAATCACGCTAGTAAATCCATGGTCTTACCAAAGTATTGCACAGCTTAATTAGCAAGTCATGCTGTAGACTTATACTTATGCAGTACCTATTCATTACACCATTTTCAATTCAAAATTTCAGCTATGATAAGTGCAGCCTTTACTTAGGCGAAGTTTTGTCATTTTGTATAGTATCTTTTGGCCTTACTAACTGACATAGACTTTTATTACCTAGAAATCCTTCTATTTGATACTTACAATTTATTTGTTAATTCGAAAATCTCACACACTAGCATGGAACTGATTCTTTTATTCGATCATCTTCTGTCCAACAGAATCCACCCTCTGTTCCAACATTGGCTGCTGTAAAACTGGCTAGCTGGCTAAGAGGTGCTAAGTTTATTGTGGACTGGCATAACTTTGGATATACACTGCTTGGGTTGTCTCATGGCAGAAGCCATATCATTGTTAAAATCTACTTCTGGTAATTCCTGTCCTGTTTGTTTATCTGCTAGATGTAGCATACTGATTGTGTGTGTTAATATAGTGGTGTGTTCTTTGCATTCTAGGTTCGAGAAGCATTTTGGACGGATGGCTGATGGTGCCTTCTGTGTTACAAAAGCAATGAAACACGAGCTTGATCAAAAATGGGGAATCAAGTAAGATCAAACTTTCAGGCACTTTTCATGTTTAAGGCTGTTGTGTTAGCACACAACTACTTTTATTTTTGAAGTCGCTAGCTACAGTTTATATTAACTTAACTGGTTGGATTTCAGCGCAACAGTTCTTTACGATCAATCTCCTGAATTTTTCCATCCTGCTTCATTGACAGAGAAACATGAGGTGAGCATCTGTTTTCATTTATTTCCTCATCTTTGCTGTACTGCCTATCTGACCATTAGATGAAATAGTTGTTTAGCAGGTTGGGGAATTCCATTTGTAGTGCTATGGGCAATGACGATTGCATTTCTGTTGGTATGTTCTCCAGCCACTCTAAATATTTGATTGCTGTAAGAAAATTTCACTTTGATATAGTTTCTACTGTTTGCTCTTACAACACAGAGAAAGAAGTGGAAGACAGGAACACTACTGTATTTACAAGCTGGGTCGATGGTGAAATTTTCTTGAAGCCTAATAGACCAGCTCTTGTTGTCAGCAGCACAAGCTGGTCTGTTCTCTTGATCTGGGTGATCCTAGTTGTATCATTATTTATACTCAGCACATGTGGTTAAAATGAAAGTAAAATTAAGAATCTTTTCCTTTGCCACATATTTCAGGACACCAGATGAAGATTTCAGCATACTTCTGGAAGCAGCACTTATGTACGATAGACGTGTTGCTGCAACTTTAGGAGAAGATGATTCAATGGACGAGGGAAAGCTTTGGATTGATATCAAGAACGGGAAGCAATTTGTCTACCCAAGACTGCTATTCATTATCACTGGTTTGTGCATTCTGCTAATTAGCTCCAGTAACCAGTTTTTGAGTATTGTTATGATATCCATGAATATCAATTTTGAAGGCAAAGGACCTGATAGGATGAAGTATGAGGAGCAAATAAAGAGGTTGAAACTGAGGCGTGTTGCCTTCCGGACTATGTGGCTTGCATCAGAGGACTACCCTCTTTTGCTTGGTAAACTAGTTGATTGCCAAAAGAATTCCATGTTGTAGCATAAATGCTGATTCTTTGAATAATTACAGGATCGGCTGATCTAGGTGTATCATTGCATACTTCCTCTTCAGGGCTAGACCTACCTATGAAGGTATAACTCATAAGCATCCGCTCTGTTGAAAAAATAGGCATTTTTTATCTGTTGCGTGTAACTTGACGATTTTGCTTTTAGGTGGTTGATATGTTCGGTTGTGGATTACCAGTTTGTGCTGCTTCATTCTCCTGGTAATCCATGTTTCCCGTATGTTTGATTTGTTACATTTGGGCTTTGACCTTCATGTCGTTTGAATTAAAAGTATGTCCTAATTTTTTTTTCGTATGTGCAGCATTGATGAGCTTGTAAAAATAAATAATAATGGACTTCTTTTTTCAACATCTTCTGAGCTTGCCGATGAACTTATGGTGATGATCACTTTTAATTATTTATTTCCATATTTTATGTTCATATCTTTTTTTTAAATACTTGTTGAAAGTGCTGTGTCTAGATTTTAATTGTTGCAATCGCAAATCCATGCAGATGCTCTTTAAGGGGTTTCCGGAAGAATGCGATGACTTGAAATCCCTCAAGGTTGGTGCCTTGAATACTGGGTCATCTTCCAAATGGTCGACAGAATGGGAACGTTATGCACTCCCCTTGGTGAACCAGGTCGGATCTTGAACCTAAATGACTAAATATGGTCATTACAGTCACCTGAGTATGCCTTACCAATTTCTTTCGTAAGGAAATTTGCAGTTGCAGGTCATAGGTTGAAATGCATGACAGCATTCCATAGATTATAAGCCTTACCTTCCCTTTCTCAAATTGCAGGTCATAGGTTGAAATGCATGATAACATTCGACAGGTAGGCAAATCATGTATTTGTTACAGCTTGCTTGAACATCTGTTCATTCCAGAGATTATAGGCGCACTGTGCACTTGAGTGAGCATATGGCATATGTACATTTGAAGGTTGGGGAGAGACCATATCATATTTTTGTTTGCTTACACCAAGGCAGGATGTATGACAACTAGAACTGACCCTTTAGTTTGATATAGGACCTGACTCGAATCTCCTTTGATATTTTATTTGGTAAGCAAAAGGGAAACCCTTTTTTGTAATAGAAGTTGACAACACGTTTTGTAAACAGACATGTACATGTACTGAAGTACGGTCGTACAAAAAAGAAACGCTAGTCTCCTCTCTCAAGAAAAGAAAAAAAAATCCAGGAAATTGTTCTTGTTGCCTCTTTACTGCCACCGGGGGTGTCTATATCTCCAGATCCAACACAATGTCTGGGGAATGAATTCAAGGATGTAAAACATCAGATTCTATATATGTTAGCCTGCAAGAACCGCTACAATATACTATTCTCATTTTCTGTCAGACGAACATGAACTTACACTCTGAATCTGTTCTGATCCATTTGGTGCCCTCTTGTTTATCCTTCTGTGGCGTCGGAACCGTTGGATCACCTTTCATCACAGTATGTGGCAACGCCGGTTTTTCAGGATGCGTGTTCTTGTGCAACAATGACCATATAATCTGCGAAACATATCAGCATGAAATCACAAGAACCAATACGAATTTCCTTCTGATTTCTGAAAATCGAATGAACAAATATGCTCTTTATATTGGAGTAGTCCTACTCCTACTACCTCACTGACAGTCGCTTCAGGCATCGTCTCCCTGCAGCTCGGCCGGTGCAGGAGGCCACCGAGAGCAGCGGCCATGATCTTCCTGATCGATCTCTGCTTCAGCTTGGCCACCACCTCTCTGCCATTCGTGGAGCTCGACGTGCGGCTCAGTGACCTGCGTTGCCTGCCGCCGCCGCCGCCGCCGTCGTCGTCCTCGCCTCCGGTCACCACCGCCTGAGCTCGAACCAGCAGCCTGAGCTCCTCCTGCAGCCTGTCGAGCTCGTCGGCGCCCGCCGCCGCCGTCGTCCACGGCGTGCCAGAACCATGACGGCCCTTCGGTCCCCCTAACGTGCCTATGGACAGCATCGCCGCCGCCCAGCCGTCGTCGAGCTCGTCGCCGTTCCGGTGGAGATCACCGGAGGTATGAGCGCCTGCAAGAGATCAAAGATTCAGCAACAATTACGTGACTGAAACTCTGAAACGCTGGGAATTCTGAAAGGAGAAAAAAAAAACCATCGTCACTTACGTCGAGATGACACTGCAGTGTGATCTTGTTTCCTCGTCCCGTGGAGCCTTGTCTGCACCCAGTTCAGAGCCTGAAACCGAAGTAGAACCAGCAGCAGCAACGATTGCTGAATTAGCATTTGTCATTCGATGTAAAAAAGTTCAGAAGAACCAGAGAATCGAGTGTGTACCCTCATGAGCAGTTCTCGTGACCTCTTGTGTGCGAGTTCAGAAGAAAAATGTGGATGAATGGACTCAATGGGAAGAAGAAGATGGATGATGATCCAAGACTCCAAGTTCACTATATATAGGGGTAAACTCTGATCTTGTTGCAACTTTACAGAAGCATGCGTATGCAGGATTGGAGAATGAAGAATTTCTCTCTGACTACTACAGTGTCAAGGTGATTACTGTCACATCTCACAGGAATTATGGCAGAAATGCAGAGCTCAAAGATGAATGGCAGCTTGGTACTCCTTAACATTCCAAATAGGGATCTGGCCTAGTTGAGGAGAGATGAACAGATATTCCATGTGACCAAATTACTCAGGAGATTTGGTTGATATCTTATCTTAGGATAGGCTCATGGCCACTGCCATGTCCAGCAAACTAGGATGCAATTTTATATATCTTGAGCTGTACACATTCCCAGTTGAGCTTGATTGGAAGCAGGACCCAGTACCGATGAACAAAATTCTTGATTGCAGCTGAGATGAAAAGGGAAAGTCAGTACTAGAGGGGGAAATTGCACCGAGAGCCGAGAAAAGAAACATTAAGATAGATCGCAGTATGGTGCTTCCAAGAAGCATTGCCGTGTGACAAACTTAGCCACATAAATTTTCAAGTGTTTGTTGCCATATCATGTGTTTGCTGTGTTCTGAAATTGACGGTTTCATACTCAAATCAGGAAGCAAGTAAGCAGGATAGTGGGAGTTCTTGTGTACTTTTTTCGGCGATCAGTGTGGAAAATCTAATATGTTGTATTCTGATGTTTTCTGATATATTGGATCGACCCTCTCATGGGGTATATATAGGAGTACATAGGGGATAGAGACTTGGAGTCTAGGATTCTATCTCTAGGACTCTATCTTATCTCTAGGATATATCTTATCTCTATATTTGTATTTGACTCTTATCTCTAACTAACATATTATACTTCTAACATTCCCCCTCAGTCGTAACGGGAGCAAAGCTAACGATTGCGACTGGATTTGAAATCTTCTATTTCTTCATCTCTTTGAGTCATCATCATCGATTGCATCTCTGATGGTCGTTCCTCCACCTGGTGCCTGCGTCCCCTTCTGTGTCGTCCCTTGACTCTCCTCTATTCCCTCCCGCAGTCATAGCGGGAGTGTCATGGATGATAGCGATGACACGGACGCTTTTGACTGGAGTTTCCATCAATGATTTTTGTTGTAGATGTTCGTCGATGTAGCCGATCATGAAGTAGCCGTGGTCGTGGTAGTTGATGTAGCCGCAAATAGCCGAAGGCGAAAAAAAATATTTACGCCATGGTGTGAAGACAAAAACTGCAATTGTTAGCATCTTGCATCTTGTAGATGTCAGATGATGCCGTTGGGGACGTCTTGCATATATCAGAGGATGTCGTTGGCGATGAGGCCACCACTTTGGTTGGTCCTTCTGCGCCGTGTAGCGGTCATCACAATGGTGATGCTGGATTGATGCAGTCGTTGTCGTCGTAGATGACGTGATCGATGCCGTCGTCGGTGTCGCGGTCGTTGCCGTCGTAGAGGACGCGGTCGATATCGTTGATGAAGCGTCTTGCAGATTAATCTGTCAGAGCATGCTTCGGCGAGATTGATTTTCCATCGTACGGCATGATTGCTTGGACCGATCTCCTTTTCCTCCTTTTGTTCTTTCTTGATCTGCTAGATGGGATTGATTCATGCATTGCTTCCTTTTTCTCCTGTTCATACTGGCGTGGCTTCCGCTCCTTCTCTTCTCCCGAGGATTGTAGATGTGGCGCCCCAGGGAGGATATGGCGATTATCTCATCTCCCCGGGGCGGCGCGAGCGGAAGGTAGAAACGGATCAAGCAACGTTGGTCTTTGGCTCTGATACCATGTGGAAAAATCTAAACTGTTGTATTTTGTTGTTTTCTAATCTATTACATCGACTCTCTCATGGGGTATATATAGGAGTACATAGGGGATAGAGACTTTGGAGTACAATACAAGTAAGAGTAGATTTATCTCTAGGATTCTATCTCTAGTACTCTATCTTATCTCTAGGACTCTATCTCTAGGATATATCTTATCTCTATATTTGTATTTGACTCTTATCTCTAACTAACATATTATACTTTTAACATTCCCCTAATCTAATGATAATTAATGGAAAACACATCTAATGATCTTTGGCTAATCTAATCTGTAGATGATACAGGAGAGGCTAGCTAGCTTGTGTTGCCCCAGGGAGAGCTTACAGATTCATCTCGTCTCCCTGGGGCAGCGCCGAAGGATGGATGGATTGTATCAAAGGATCGGTTGACGCTAGTATATGGCTCTGATACCATGTAGAAAATCTAATATGTTGTATTCTGATGTTTTCTGATATATTGGATCGACCCTCTCATGGGATATATATAGGAGTACATAGAGGATAGAGACTTGGAGTACAATACAAGTAAGAGTAGATTTATCTCTAGGATTCTATCTCTAGGACTCTATCTTATCTCTAGAATTTTATCTCTAGGATATATCTTATCTCTATATTTGTATTTGACTCTTATATCTAACTAACATATTATACTTCTAACAATCAGGACTTCAGGAGAGTGAGAGATCGTACACGAGTCATTTCAACTCGGACAATTTGCTTGGATCACTCTGCCTTGTGACTCTTGCCATTTCTACTATAAGTGTTTGTTTTGATGGTAGTAAAAATGTTCTTCAAAAAAAAAAGAAGACAACTATGACATAGAGAACTGCAGAATTTGTTTGAGTATCACTAAACAGTACAGCTTAGGGTCTCCTTTTGGAAGAATTTTGCAGGATTTCCGCGGAAACTAGTTCAATTTTTGAGAAATCCTCCAGCATTGTTCCATTCCAAAGGATGACTAGGGCTCTTTTGGAACACAGGATTGTGGAAACGCAGTAAGAGGAAAAGCATAGCAATAAAGTGCCATGCCTATTCAATTCCTACAGGAATTAAAAACCTTGGGAAATTTTAAAAATTGCCGTTTGGATAACACAGGAAAAAAATACTAGAACTTTATGTCACGGGAAGAAAAAAAACATGGGACAGAAATGCATGCTACTCTTCCTCCAGCACTTCTATGGACTTTTGGATTTCAAAAGAGCTCGAAATGGCCCGTTCCATAAGAATTTTAAAGGAATTGAGAAGAACCATTCCTTTGTTCCAAAGAACCATATAGGATTTTTTTTTTGCCATACAAATTTAATCCTCCCAAATCATATCATATCAAATCTTTAGTTTTCGTGACCCACTAGCAACAGTGTTGCGATTCATCTCAGGCCAGAGAAATGCTGCTACAGTACTACAGTCCCTCGCCATGCATGCGCCGTCAGATGTCCAACTGGTGATTCCATCCAGCCGTCCACATGGTCATCGCTCATCCCTCCATCCCCTCAGTCCACTCAATCACCACACCAGCCACCGCCTAGACATCCTCGCCGCCTCCTTGCCAAAAATCCCCAAATCCTCGTCTTCTCGGCGCCGCCGCCGCGCTGTCTTCCTCCCACCATGCCGCAGCGCTGTCTTCCTCCTGCGATGCTCGGCTGGCGCCGTCTTCCTCCCGCGGCGCCCGGCTGTCACCGCCGCGCCATCTTCCTCCCGCGACGCCCGACCGTCACCGCCGTCGCCGCCTTTTGCGGATTGATTCCTTCGGCCCGTCGCCGCCGGACCTCGGCGACTGTGGTGGCTACGAAGCATGGCGCCACCACCGCTATCCTGATCTACCTCTCTGTCCCCTTACCCAGGTTCTCAAGTTAATTCGTGAATCATCCTCCCTGATTCCTTTTCTCATCCCCAAATCCTCCCCTGGTTCGCCGCCCTAGCCGGCGCCGCTGCGTTCTTGCGGAGCGAGGGAAATCACGGCGCTGGCTTCGCCGCCCTCGCTGGTGCCGCCAGGTTCTTGTCGAGCGAGCGAAGGACCAGCGCCGCGACAGATCTAGCCGGCGCTGGCTGCTTTCTCACGGAGCCATCGGGCAAGCGCCACAACCGGCCGCCGCCCTCCTCTTCCGAAGCCGGCCACCGCTGCCTTCAGGCGGAGCCAACGGCTTGTGCCGCCTCCTCGCAGAGCTGGTCGGCACTGCCGCTTCTCGGGGAAGCACAGGCCAGCGCCGTTGCCGCCGTCTTTTCGTCGCGTCAGTTCTCAATGAGAGGTTATAGATTTAATGATTCTTTGTTCCAGTTCGTGTCCAATTTTCCTGATTTGATTGATAGGTCTTCATGCAGGTCCCATGATCTCGTCAGCTGCTCCTGATGAATTCTCTTAGGTGCTTCCCCTTCTTTCTTGCTATCAGTTTCAATCTTTTATTTGCTTAGGAGGATTTGGATCTCATGTTCACAATTTCATCTAGGGACATCCAAGTTGATTCTTCTATAGTTATATTGACAATATTGCGCAGTGAACCACTGCAGGATATTAAAAACATCGTTCATTGACTATGGGCTGCCATCCATACATTTCCAACCACCACACTTTTAGGACAGATGGTTGACAACTTCTCAAATAAAGAACAGATAGTTAAGCATGGATGCCTATCATGACCTTTCGTGCACAGGTTATTTTTTTCCTTCTACAAAATATTTTCAGGAGCTACTATTCAGTTCTTGTGTGGGCCATGAAAATAGGAAATCACCAAATTGTTATTATTATTAAATTTACATGCAATCTTCTCTGTACATTATTTTTTATTTAGTTGTTCCTCTTCTGCAGAAGTGCAATATCATCCAAGACTGCCTGTTGCAGAGGATCTGAATTCGTTGCAATGGGGTTCCTATATTTCTTTCTTACTTTCGTGCTCAATGCCCAATAGTTGGTATGTCTTTTGCAAGTTACTATTGGGTAGTAACAGGCTGCATATTACTAAACCTTGGAGTAAATTTTGCGAGAGTAAACTTGGCCAGTGATGAAATACTAATGGGACATGCAAAATATAAAGTTATGCCACCACAAGGTTTGCTCTAAATTTTGCCTATGACTTTGTCTTTTTGAATACTTGCTGTAATTGGACCTACATGAAAAACTCTTAACCATAGAATTGTTCTACAAATTCTCATGTATAGTGATATCCTTCTTTTCTATGTTGTCATTCTGCAAATTTTTCAGCTTTCAGCATGTTTTTGGCATGAGTTGACCATCCTGTGGCTTTCAGGGCTTGCAGTACCACTATGGCAAGCAAATAACAACTTGGATGTTGAGCATAGGTTGTAACTGTTGTAGTTGTACCGTATACTTTTTATACCTAAATACTTAGTTGATTTATTTGGATCTTCGTGAACCAAAAATGGCCTCTTTTTTTTTTTGCACAGTTGTTCAATGGAATTAATAGCAATGGCTGATAGATGGGGCTTAAGTAACCTGTTCTTCATTGATTTGGTCATCATTCCTAACTTAATTCATTAGTCCTGAATCCGGCATCGCCAACAGTACCTCCCAGCATTGGGTTTGCTATCTTCAACCAAATTCTACCATAAAGCGTGGCATGAGCCAGGACCATCTCAGTGCCGGTGAGCACCCACATGGTGATTTCTCAGAGTTTGCAATGTACTACTATTTGATTTCTTGATGTATGGCTGCAGCAAGTTAGTAAAACAAGCTATAATTTATAATCAGGTATTTCAATCCATGTACAAGATGGTTATCTCCACTTATTTAATATTTCTTATATTATGTGCTAAGTTACATTGAGATATCTGGAAATTACTCGGTTATGTTATTTTTTTAAAAAAACTACCTACAAATCTCAATATTGAATATCGAATGGTTAATAAAATGTCATGTCATGAGATGTACTGATTTAGCATGAAGAAGGAAACTTATTTGACTCAAAAGAGCTAGGTTGTTGGAGGTACCAGGCTACCAGCTAATGCTATATATGTTAGGATTCTATAATGCATACATTTTTATTGTCCTCAGCATTCTTATGCATGGTAAGCAGGTCCATGTGTTTGGATGGGTCAAACAAATGGTACCATGGGTGTGGGATTCCTATTTCAGTTTTTTTTTTCAGGTTAATATGTCAACTGGGCAACAACATTGAATTAAAAAGATACGTGCATCTTCCTCCTTTATGCAGTTGAAATGATGCATTCTTATAGCTAGGTTTTGTTAAGAACACAACCATATGTGCAGTTCAACCAACTTGCTTCCCCATCTCTCTATATCGGAGTGTACAACTGTACATATCTGTGTATAGGGATTAATTGTCACTGTTGGTGTAATACAGTTTAAAAACTAAAGGTTTGATCTACAAACCTTGTGCATCTTAAATTATTTATTTTACTTTTGAGCAAACTGCCTTGGTCTCTGCAGCTCTATGAAAGATGAAGCATAGGAATTTGGCAAGAATAGCATATATCATGTTCATGATCTCTTCTAGCACATACTTATAATTATTTCTGAACTATCGATATCTTCATATTTGGAACCTCAAATTAACTGTTTGTCACATCATGCCCTCATTGTAGCCAACTGCATGTACTGTTCCTTTTGCGCCGAAACAAGATGATAGAAGCACAATTTGTTAGTAAACTACTAATACCATCCATCTTATATTCTCTTTAAAGCTCAAAATGCATCGGATAACTGTTAGTCCAGTGAAACATATCTCCATTATCTAACTTATTGTTCTATTTCTACTGGACCATATATTCCAGCAACATTTGACAAAATTAATGGCATATGTCTTTGTTATGTGGTGCTTCAGATTCATATAGCTTGATATATAGCCTTCTGGTAATTTACATAGGCGCTAATCTTTAGTTGTAAACTAGAGCATATCATAGTGTTGACACCGTTAACACTTAACACATAGATACCAATCTAAGTGTAAAATATTAATCTTAGAACATACGTAGTAGATACTAAACTTTAGGTGTAAATTAGCACTTGGCAAACTGGTTTTCCCAAAGGAGCAATCAAAGCGGTGTGACATATAAACTGATTAGTAACCGGTGGTGTGACAAGCAAAGATGTTTCAGCAATAATAACATAGCTAAAGCATGTATACCTTGCAGTACTTTTTGGGCAAAAGAAGCCAGTTCTATTACTGAAGTACACTCTTCGATTTAACTGTTCTATTACTGAGGTACTCTTCGATTTTGTGGTTGACTGTAACGGTAATGCTAATACTTGACATAATTAGGTAGAGCTCTGAGGAGCTACATGAGATGTCAATACTTTGCTCTTATGCCCACCATTTCACCCGCGGCAACGCGCGGGTCCCGGCTAGTTTCTCTAGTTTTCCTTTGCCTTAAAGGAGCCCTAGATCTTGTTTGGGATGGTTCAAATTACTGCCAATTCCCGAGGATGTGCAAAATCCTGACCGAACTGGCGTTATGTAGATTTATTGGTGATTTTTTGAGGATTAATCATCTCAACTTCTCGAGTCAGCGAAGGCCTCCCACATGATTTTAGATTTTCAATGACAATAACTATATCTTGATTGAATTTTAAACATAATTAGTACCATCAAGTACTGACTCCCCTTAGTAAATAAATATTTAGATTTCTAACTCCACCGTTGTTCTTATGTGTGGCTTTGACTGTTTGAGCTACAGATAATGAGCCCAAAAAAAAAACTAATAAAGGAGCAACTCTAAAAAAAGTCTTTATATTCTGTGACAGAGTAATAAACGAAGCAACCAAATATAATTCATGAATAAAACTTTTGTATTTATATTACCAGCGGCTTTAAAGTTAATATAAAAAACTCAAAAAGTATCAACTGTATTTTTTTAAACAACCCATACAAGATAGTATGATATTTTTATTTATATAGCAGAAAAAAAATACAAGACCTGGGAAACTATATTTATGGAAAAAAATACTACACCCCACATATACGTCTGATCCTGCTACTGAAAACAAAATAACATCCCATAGGAAATGTAACAACATAACAATTATGCCTGACAAGCTTGAGACGCTAATTAACCTACACCCCCCCCCCTCCTCAAACAAAAACCGAAGCAAAGGCCAGATTATCCACTCCAACGAAGAAAAATATGTCAAATATTAGGCCTTGCTTAGTTCCTAAATTTTTTTTCTCAAAAATATCATATCGAATATTTGGACAAATGCATGGAGTATTAAATCTTTACCTATTATAAAAGTTTAAGATGTTTTTGTCCAGAAAATTTCGTACGTCACTCGCCTGATTTTTCTCCCTCGCGCGTTCCGTCCAATTTTTTTTTCACACGTGGTTTTTTTCTCCGGTTTTTTTCCGCCCGATCTTTTTTGGTCGTGACTTTTAGATCCGTTTTTTCCATCGCCTGTTGCACACGTTTTTTTTCTTTTTTTTTTCAATCCGAATATCTTAGATCCGTTTTTTTCCTTTTTTTCCATCGTTGCTTTTTTTTTGTCAATTTGGATATCTTTTCTGCCACGGTTTTTCTATTGCGCATGTGTAAGGCTTCCGAGCTTTTATCCACCTGGTTTATTTTTTTTTGTCATCTGGCAGAACCCTAGCATAGTCCCACATCAATCTGCCCCACCACGTCAATATGCCTTTTTCCCCTTCTGCCTTATCATTTTTGCCATGATTTTCAGTTCCAAGTAGGCTTTAATTCGTCAGATTTAGTCTCCATTTAACAATTACTGATGATGGCTGGCCAACGAGTTTTCCAAGCTGTTTTAAAACCCTCAATCAATTCTGATGGCTCCAGAATGTGGAGTACAGGCCATCTTACGAAGGTTAAAGATCACATTTGATTGTGTGAGCCAAGTTTGGGAGGTCGACAAAGACTCGGCTGTATTTGATGGGTAGGATGCCTTCGGCATCTATAGGCATGATACCGTCTTTCGGAGGTTGAAGATTGCATTTGATTGTGCGAGCTGGGTTTACAGCTACACTTATAAGCTAGGCCAAAGAGAGGCTGGCCGAGCGGAAAGAGACAACAACCAGAGCTAAAACTGAAAAGGAAGAAAGGGATGGATTTTCGGCCCAGAACCAACGAAGAAGTATAATGCACAGTGATAAAAACGTCTTTAATTACCCGTTGCAACGCACGGGCATTTTTTTTCTAGTATAGATAAAATGAAAAACTAATTGCACGGTTAAGGGGGAAATCGCGAGACGAATCTTTTGAGCCTAATTAGTCCATGATTAGCCATAAGTGCTACCGTAACCCACCTGTGCTAATGATGGATTAATTAGGCTCAAAAGATTCGTCTCGTGGTTTCCAGGCAAGTTATGAAATTAGTTTTTTTTATTCGTGTTCGAAAATACCTTCCAACATCCGGTCAAACATCCGACGTTTTCGCAAACTACACAGGCTATTAGGAGATTGACTTCGCATGATCTGACGGCTATGAAGCGACCAGCACTGCGATGCGGCCACAACCCCCCGTCCCACTCCCATAGCCCGAGTCGGACCCTCGAGTCCGGCTCGACCGAAACTGCAGCGAGACTCCGACCCGGACCCCCTCCACTCTTCTTCTTGCGCAATAAGAAGAAGCCGCCGTCGCGTGCGTCTATTTTCTATTTTTGGTTTATTTTGCCTCCCCAACCAAGCACAAACACAAGCCTCGCCGTATTCTCTCGGAGCAAAGCGAACGCGAAACCCCACCCGCGGCGGCGAGAAATCCGGCGACGATGAGCCGCGGCACGGGCGCCGGCTACGACCGCCACATCACCATCTTCTCCCCGGAGGGCCGCCTCTACCAAGTCGGTGCGTGGTCTCCCCCCTTACTAAAACCCTAGCCTCGCCCGCCCTCGTTTTTCCCCGCTCGAGGTTAGATCTGCTTTTTTTGTGATGTTGGGAGGCTGATCTGATCTGGTTTGATCTGGTGTTTTGGTGTTGTGCAGAGTACGCGTTCAAGGCGGTGAAGTCGGCGGGGGTGACGTCGATCGGCGTCCGCGGCAAGGACTCCGTCTGCGTCGTCACACAGAAGAAAGTGCCGGTGAGTTCTCTTCGCTTCGATCTAAAAAGATCGCGGCTTTATGCTGTTTATACGGCGATTAGAGACCAGGAGAGGAGACTGATTTGTCTTGCTCCTTGTGATGTGATTCTGATTTTGCAGGACAAGTTGCTGGACCATACGAGCGTCACGCACTTGTTCCCGATCACCAAGTACATCGGTCTGCTCGCCACTGGCCTCACAGGTTTGTTTGCTCTGCAGCTTTGCTTCACTGTATATAACTAGTGTTATGTTTTTGTGCGTGTTGATGATGAAGAAAAAGTTGTTTTTTTTTTGTGTGTGTCTTAGGTTTAAGATTAAGTTATTCCAGATATCAATTTTGAGATAGATGCTGTGGAAATAGACCACCCACAGTGATTTTGCCGGTTAATTTTGCGATGATGCTAGAGCTTTATATAGGGCATGGTTCTCCTGGTTGTTTTGGGTTGTACATGAGGCACTGGATGGTATATCAGTATGTTTAGCTCTGTTTGTTTTAACTCTTAGGGCAATGGTAGAAAGCACTGCCCTTTTTCTTTTGGGGACTGCGAAAACACCACAAAATTTGGATCAAATGCAAGCATACCATATTAATTAAGCTCTTTCATATTTGCCATCAGTTTCCTTATGAAGGCTCTTGCTTTCTAGTAGTATATATGTTGTAGCATTAGGTTCCACATAATTTGTTCTGCTAGTGATAATTTGGCATTGAGACCATATTTTCTTATTTTGTTTTTCCTGAATACCTTCATTCTTCATTGATCATAAACTTTGTTTTCCTTTTTCTGTTTTTCAGCTGATGCAAGGTCCTTAGTCTACCAAGCAAGGAATGAGGCAGCTGAATTCCGTTTCAAATGGGGCTACGAGATGCCCGTAGACGTATTAGCAAAATGGTATCATGTCTCATCCTTAAGTTCTCTATTTGTGAAAATAGGGTTGTGGTTGAATATATGATCTTTGCATTTCTTATAACAAAGTGATAGCTAACTTTTCTGGTTTATGTTTCAGGATAGCAGACAAAGCACAAGTCTACACGCAGCATGCCTACATGAGGCCCCTTGGAGTAGGTTCGTATCATCAAGTGACCTATTGTTCCATTGGCTTCTGTTCTATAGTTAATGTTAAACCAATCAGCTTGGATCTTATTTGCCCTCCATATTCATTTTCTTTTGGTATATTCCACAGTTGCTATGGTCTTGGGCTATGACGAAGAGAAAAACGCTCAACTATTCAAATGTGACCCGGCAGGTCACTTCTTTGGACATAAGGTATACACAGTTTCTGTATGCTTCATTAGAGTGTTAAACTATATTTCCTTTTTCATTCTGTAGTTCACTTATCAGCTGAACGAATGTTGAGCCTTCTGTCTTTTGTTGGACGATTAGAAATTTGTTTCCTTTAACACCTGGTATTCTATTCTCAGGCAACTAGCGCCGGTCTTAAGGAGCAGGAAGCAATAAATTTTCTGGAGAAGAAAATGAAGGATGACCCACAGTTCTCCTACGAGGAAACTGTCCAGGTAAACATTGCGAGGTCTTTTTCCAGTCATTTACTTTTGTTCTTACTGGATTATTATTTGCTAATTTTGTCCTATGATCCCAGATTGCAATTTCTGCATTGCAATCAGTTCTTCAGGAAGATTTCAAGGCCACCGAGATTGAGGTATGCTGTTGTTTATACGCAAGTCTTTTCTGAAAGTTTTTTTAGTTCTGCTTCGCTGTGCTTATCAGATAAACTATCGTTTGGCAGGTCGGTGTTGTGAGGAAAGATGATCGTGTTTTCAGAGCACTCACGACAGAGGAGATCGATCAGCACCTAACAGCCATAAGTGAGCGCGACTGAGCTACAATGAAGTTGGACATGTTACTGCTTCACACTGCACTCTAGTCTTTCAGCAGTGTCATTTTATTTCATGTTCAGCCAAGAAACATTCAGTGAACCATTTCATGTAACTCCAAAAAACAGTCATCAGCTTTACTTGTTGGATCATCCTCTATCGTTGTGGTTGAATTTACTACGATTTACTTGTATGCTGCTTGCATTTGTTGCGACCTTGAGCTATTCGCCATTTTGCCCTTTCTCATCTTTGCTAAAGTTGCTAGCAACAAAAAAGAAATGCACGAACCGGTTGAACAGTGCTATACGCACTAAAAAGAAAAATCTTGCAAAGAAAGTTGTCAACCATTTTGATTTTAAACGAAGATTCAATCATGGTGTGTCGCGTCATGTATTACTTTCGCAAATCTGCACGCAAATCAGCTGATTCCAGTCCAAATAGCATCCTGCATCGCATGCGTGTTAGATTGGAACGAGCAGCTAGGGACGCCACATTGAAAGAACATATCGCCTAATTCCGCAAATTTTACAACGTTTTTTGCTGACAAAAAAAAAAGCCTTGCTATACGAATATTACAACAGCTATTTCAAATTTCTATTCTGCTAGTACTACTCATCTCTGCCATATACAGTAGTACAGGGGTCAATTCTTTTTTGTTCCTCCTCTTTTTTTTCTTCTTCTTTCAAAGGTGTACACAAACATGATGAGCCTACCATCCTGTTACTTCACTGTAACAGGACACGGAAAAGGCCCGGCTGTGCCTGCGTATACTGAATGCCGTGCTCCAGGAGGTACTGCTCGACGGCGGCGGTCAGCCTCGCCGGAGTACGTGTGCTTGATATTATGATCACCTGGAGACGACGGCCTGTGGATCGAGCAATCTTCCGCCGGTTGTTGAGCTCATAGTTCAGGGCGTGTATCGCCTCGCTTACGTGAAGACCACACAGGTCAATTGGGGTATTTTGCTCCTGAACCAGGCCTTGAAATTCTGGCATTTGAAATCTGGTAAAGCCATGGAATGGATTAGAACTTTCATCATATGGTAAGAAACAGAAAGATAGAATCTTAAACAGATAGAGCATGTTGTAGGAACTACTACACCGTATTCAGACAAGGAGTGCACGCTTGCAAACTCAAGCAACTTGCTCGGTATGCAAACCTACCTTAGTAGTTCAAAAGGAAATAATATATTACACTAGTAGTGCAAAGGCCTGGCTAGTTATTGTTGAATCAGAATTAAAAACCTCTTAGTAGTAACCTGAATTCATGCTACCTGTACGACCTGTTATGACATTATCTAGGTAATTTTCATGTCCTAGTGTTATTCGAAAGTCCAAATAGTAATACAAGTTCTCAACAAGGCAAAAAATGCAAGTGTATGCATTGTTTTAAATTCTCTCATTGAAAAGGATTGACAAATGCAATCAGAATCATTTTCATGAGCAGGTGTGTTGATGTCTCATGATACACATTATATCAACATATACTCCCTCCATCCCACAAAAAACAAACCTAGGACTGGATGTGACATATCCTAGTACAATGAATCTGAACTAAGATATGTCATATCCAGTCCTAGGTTTGTGGAATGGAGGGAGTAAGAATTTATATAAACGATAATTCTATTAATAGGTGATGATGTCAATGAGATTAGCGTCTAACCTTTGGCGATATACATCTCTAGCCTTTTCCTGAGCTAGTCTGCTTTGCAAATTGTAAAGCTCCTTGATGTTTAGTTCCTTTGCTAAAGGATTGGCACCAGTTAAAAGAACCTGCCTATCCTGTCAAAAGTTTGAATGCATAGCAGCGGACTGTGAGCGAATACATTAAAAGAACCAAGAAAAAGTAAGTTGTTTACATAATTCAAGGTATCTTCCTGAGGCATAATATTTGAGTACTATAAACAACAATTCCAAAACCATATCTAATATTCATGTATTGTCAATAAAATCCAATGAATAATCTTGTGCCACCATCACCCCCCCCCCAAAAAAAAAAAAAAGTCATACCAAATTGGATTTGAAAACTAGTCATATAACATATAAGCCTACCACATCACCAAAAGAACTCATTCTGTGAAATATTTGATACAGAGCACTTTTTTGTCACATTGACAAGATATGAAGTAGTTTTCTTGCTAGTATTTTTATGTTACCAACCATGTAACTCAATTACAACTTTTTAGGGCTTGATGATTACTAATATTGTCGATACTTACAACCTTAGTCCCATTAAAATAGAATAATAATACTGTCAATATTTATTTAACAACATGCTCACATGCACAATAATTTGGTTTTAAAATATGTAACAATAATTTAGTATCGAAAAGTAGAGCATATGCACCTGTTCCAGAAGCGCATGCCGTAGGCTTGCAAAATCATGAGCTTCATCCTTTGATTCCAAAAACATGTTTGCTGTCATCACAGACAAGTTCAACCATAAGGTAAATAGGCATGTATGCTGTGATAGGTCCATGAAAAAACATGCATTATAATTCAACACTACCTGCAGTATCAGCTTCAAGCCAAGCAGGTCCTGTTTGAACTCCAGCTATATTTTGCAGGGTGTTGTTTGAGACTATGTCATGATTGCCATTGAATGAGCTTGCCATGAACTGAGAGCCTCTGCTTGAACCAAGACCAGAAACAGGCAAATTAGTTGTATTGTACCTCCCCCTAGGAGCATCCAGAGAAATATGTTCCCGACCAGCTGAAGGGGAAAGTATATCATCTGCGAGTACAGCTGAGTGGGATCTATATGTATTGTTTGCCAGACCAAAAGCTTCTTTGTTATAGTTTGCAAGACCATTTTGACCATATGATGCTGGTGATGGAGGACTTGAATGTCCAAACGACAGTGACCTCAGATTCTGATTGAATCGTCCATCAACTTTATTCTGCTAATGAACATATGATAATATTAAATAAATGCTTGAAGCAGACATCATGCATGTAATCATATCTTAGTCATTCCCATCAAGCATGGCCAAATGGAAGAAAATCGTCAACAGACATGGCCGCGACATGGTATTTCCAAGCAAATATTTCTTGAACTTATAGTAAAAAAGTAGGGGAGTTTCGCTAAGAGACTAATCTGATCCAGAATGAATGAGACTGATTAAGTCTCGGACACTATGTTGATGATTCAACCACTTCTATGTGGTATCTAAAACAGAGAACCAACAGTGGCATTGTTGTTATATCAGTTTCTATAATGAATGGGCTCAAGAAATAATCCTCGCTCATCATAGTCATCTACATATAGAATCCCACCTAGTTTCTAGACTATAGTCGTATTCAAAGTTGAATGCAAGTGATAATTTTGAGAACATAATGCCATTTCAGGGCTGTTCACTTCAATCTCAAAATCAACCTTACCAAATTGGTTGAGATGTGTAAAAGTTGTATTTGGTTTGCTACCTTTGCCAAGTTTTTGTGAGGAAGATTCTAGAATTACCAACTTTGGTAGTTGAGGCAATTTATGTCAATGTTGAATTGTTACCTTGCTTTGCCAAAATTTGGTAGGGTTAATTTTGGCAAGAAAGTAAACAGCCCCAGTAGAATCATAATTAGCATGGACAGTTTAAGCTGTCCAACAACAATATAATGTTCTAAATCAGTTGCCTGAGTGACTTTTATGAGAAGAAATAATTAATAGGTTGTAGATTAGGAGAATCAGTGGGTTCAAATAGTTTTCAGTCACTAGAAGTCCACCAAGCTTTTCCTTATATTAACATCAGATTGACTCAAACAAATATACTTCAAAGTCACAAATTTCAAATATCTATTTCATTCATTAAGTCTCGGACAAACACATGAGGTCATTACAGAGTGCCACCAGTTTAAAAATCAAACTGAACATATGTTCCTGATTATAAAGAGTAAAAAAACAATAATACAGCCCAGATGCCAAAAATGACATGGAATATTCAGTATTGAACGTGCAAACTTCAGTTGATTGAAGAAAAACATATCGGTGGATCATTAAATGGGGTCTCATTATTTATAGATCAGTATCATACTACAATGTTAATAATCTGGAACTAAAAAGTGTTATAATGCTGTATACTTGTATGAATTGGGTGACAGGAAGCAAGATCCACTCAATAGTCTAGCATTCATTCAATCAAGGACTATTGCCAAATGTTCAAAGTATTGTTTTGTCAGACATCTTTGCTCAGGTTACAACTTGTCTGGAGTTGATGTAAAACCATATAGTGAAAGTAGTTTGATGGTTTTTTTTTAAAAAAAAAACAAAAGAACTATGAAGCATTTTGCTTGTTATGAAATTTTCTGTAATATATGATGAGCATGCCAGTTATGATTCATATGTAGTTCAACTGTCCAAGCCCCAAGGCACAGTTGGAGAGAGAAAAAATTGGTAGATTTAAAATTGAGATGAATATCAGAAGAAAAACAGACCTCCAGCTGACTCATGATATCCATAGTTGAGCTAAAGCTGCGCCTGCTTCCGAAGTATGCATCAGTAAGGTTTTGCACTGGAGCTCCTGAAAATTCTAAAGGTTAGGGTTCATACTACTACCTTCAGTGAATAAAATTACACCCATGAAATCAACACTATACCAATGCTAGAATCTCCATTGTAATGGCTGGCATCCCTTCTGTTTGCATTGTATTGCACACCATTTCTTACTGTTTTTACCCACGGAGCCGCAGTTGGACTCATAGCGCTTGCAGTTGGACTCATAATAGTAGCTCTTGACTGTTCTTCTACATAAGTTGGGCTAGGAAACTCGATCTTTGATCGTGTGCTCAGAGTGTCCCTAATAAAAGGAGAAGCACGGTGTTGCAAATTCGATGTCTGGTTTGGAGAAAATAGTGAAGCACCAATGCTATCATTTATTGACAAGCCAGTGAGTGAAATATTATCAGGTCCAGGCATCTCATCTTGTCCCAGAACTTTGAAATCAGGGGTAATATCATCTGGAAGCTGTTCTTGCCAGTACCGATGTGCTTCTTCATCAGGGTTACTTGGTATAACAGGATCTTGTTGATCTGCAATAGTGTCTTTGGAGGATCCTGATACAGAAATCCTGGATGTGTCTGATCTATTTGAAACATCATTGATAGATCTGAGGGATGAAGGTACAAATTCTTGTGCATTTGGATTTAACGCAGTGGTCTTGTTTATCAAACTTAATGTTCTCTCTTCGATGGACATACTGATGATAAGCAGATGAAAGTCTTGCTGGAGATATTCTTCCTATTCCTATCATATAGAATTGTGCAAGGCAGTCTTAGATTCCTAGAAACAGCTGATGGTTTTGCTAGAAACAAAGATTCAAAGAAACCTAACAACTACATTTATGTGGAACTCAACTTATCCCCAATGATATTGAAGAAAAAACAGGACCATAACATTTTTAAGTCTGGTTTGGCATAGAACCTGTTGAATTATCCAACTAGATGAATGGTGGATTGCATTCGGTGCAAAATATATGCTCTAAAGTTCTTATTACATAGTTCAAGTTGATAAATGGTGAATACATCAGACAAATTGGAAATCCCATATGGTATGGAAGAATCAAGATATTGAACATTTATATATGGCCATGAAGACTGCACGTGATTATCAGAATCATACTATCAGTCTATTGCAAGTTAAAGAAAATATCCATCCTATAAGCTGCAAGTCAAACATACCAAAAGAGAATGCAAGAAAGAGAATTGGACATGTAAAAGTAAGCCCCAAGTCACACAGAAATAAACTCTTTCCCATTTTTCTGCCAGCTAAAAATGGAGACGGAAACCTGCAAATTAATCTTAGAAGTTCACATCAGAACACAAATAAGTTGACACACCAGGATTGCACTTGAGAAGACGCAAAAACAAATCAGTTGCCTACAGACAGAAACTACAGTCGCCAAGCTGGCCATCTCTGATCATCCCTTGTCGGTCAAGATGCATTCAAGACGAAATAAACTGAATGTCTGTCCATTTGATACTTTTGAATGCAAAAAGTACCAGAGCAAAAAGCATTGTCTTATGGGAGATCCAACTATGGGCAAAAGCTACTAATTGTAGCATTGTTTCTTTTAGATGATAAGCCAGATGGCCCTGCTTTTCTGAAAGCAGGTTTTAAAGAGTCACACTGGGGTTTCCAGCTTACATTTCAGCCCAAAAACATAGATCACGACAACTAATTGTAGCATTGTTACATGGGGTATCCGATAAATGGAAAAATACTGGTGACTTTAAGCATGGCATAGCTAAAAGTATGTACTTTCCTTTATCATGGAACAATCTTTGAGAAAGAAAAAGAGTGCCCATTATAAGTTCATCATCGTTGCAAGAGAACCACATTACTGTCATCACTGTCAACAGACGATGACTCAAGCAAAATAGCTAAAAACTGTTGTAATCAACAGAACTGACAGAAGAATAGCCAAAAAAAAAACAGTAACCTTAATTGCTATCCAACGCGGAGATGACCCCATCAAACTATTATCCACCAACGCATGCATCCAGAGACATCTACTACTAAGCTAAAAAAGACACAAGGCATTAGTTTTCACACTCAAGCCACATCCGAACGATATTGATCGAGCTTGTACAGTCCTTCCATGAAGAAGTCAATCGAACGTAACAGTAACACTAAGCAGTAAGAACATAAATTACTGAATTGGGGAGACCTCGTTAGTCCAAAAATGGTGACCACTCACACGCCCCGAATCTAACCACCAAAATACCAGTTTGATCCAACGAAAAACCACCTAGAGCGATGCGTAAGCAGCATTTGGCAACTTGGAGCCCAACGAAATCAACCGCAAAAACTAGCTAAATTCAGCAACTCTTATCAAAATCAATCCACAAAAACCCCCATGCGCGCAGACCAAGCGCACCAAAGCCCAATTCAATGCATCGACAAATCATCTACAGCGATCTAGAACCATCGGCGCCCTCACCTCCCGCGAGATCGACGAACCGATAAATCCAGAGGACTCCCAACCCACTCGCACACGTACGACACGCCCTTCTAGAAGCTCCCACTCCCCCCGACCGCCACCTACCACTCCGGCGGCGCACCACCACGCATCAGCCCCCTCAAGTGTATAATTCTACCTGGACCGCGCGATTCCAGAAGCTTCTAGAAGGATCGGAGATCTCACCTGCGCCTTCTTCCTCCTCCTCCTCCTCCTCTCCTCTCGCCCAAAGTTTTTTTTCTCTTCTCTCCTTTTCTGCGGCGATTTTTTTTAGCTCGCTCTCTCTATCACTTCTTGTTCGCTGTGTTGACTCGTAGCCTTATATTATTCGTGGACGCGATAGGATCCCACGGGCGCCTCCCGGCCGTCCGATCGGCCCCTGCGCGCGCATCCGGCCGTCGGTCGCCCCGGCTAAAGCGTACTACCTCTGGAGCCAAACCGAACCCCGCGGCGGCTGACATGTGGGGCCCGCACGTGAAATGGCGACTCCTGTGGCGTGTTTGTTTGTCCCGTGAGGGAAGCCGTGGGCCCCACCTGTCTATGCGCTGGGGCCCGCGCGGGGGCGCTGTACCGGCCTGTACGTGAGCCGTGCGACTGATCCGTGGGGCCCCACGTGTAGTGGGACCCACATGTCATGGTAGGTGTTGTACTTTTGTGATTTTTTTTTTTTGTGTTCGGGTTAGCATCGTGCGCGCTGTTCGAGGGTGCGAGGTGGAGGAGCGAATACTTTGTGGCGAATGATTCTTTGGTTGCATGGGATTTTGTGGTCCTCGGTGCGTCTCTCTAGGTGAGGACAAACAAACAGCCAAACTGTTTTTTTTTTTAATTATTTCCTTCTCCTTTCAGATGCGATTTCTTATCAGAAAAGTACAGAACAACCTATACGCTCTTTGGTTACACTTGCATTTGCAGATTTGCTGCAGCATCATGGTCAATCAGCACGCAAATTTACGACAAGTATGTGTAGAATTTACAGAACAATTTGGCGACAGAACAACCTAGTATTGTTTTGTTGAGGTCCATCTGAACTCCGAAGGTTTACCATTTCTGAGGCTCTGATGAACTCTGAATTCTGAACCAGGGGTTTGGCAACAATCAGAGGCTGAGAACCACCTGTATGAGCTTGCCAACATCTGTGTGGCAACTGGCAACTCAGATTTCTATTGGCTGGCCTTCTGTTCATGCCTGTCTTAATAAAGGGTAGGCATAAGAGCACCCGCAATGGTAAAGTAAGGTGCTCTCTATAAAACATGTATATCTCAGCAATAAACTAGATTAATAGTAAACCATCTCAATAGTATGTCTACATGGGTATCTATAGCTCTCTAATTCATTGCCTCGTTTTTCTCTATAGACTATCTCCAGGTTAGTAGATAGTTTTGTTCTCTCTCTTCATTTAATCTCTTCCAAATAAGAAAATATACTGACATAGATCTCTTGTAGAGAGCTTATAGATAATCATTGTGGATGCACTAAGATATTGCTGGCGCATCTATTCTTCATTGGATCACATTATTTTGTTCTAGAACCATTCAATTCAGGAGGGGATGCGAAAACTCGGTAAAAATCGAGATTGTGGATCAAGTTGTTTTTGTTGATGTAAATGTCCTGAAGCCAGGAAAAAAGAGACAGAGCTTTCCTGAACAGAAAGTGTCCCCGTCCGAAAAGAGATGGTTCAGACTTCAGAAACTTCAGAGAATTACCAGTAAATTGTTTCTGACCGGTAGAGTCACCGGAAATTGTTAGCAACCAATTCTGGACAAACACAATCGAATTGGCAAATTGGAAATTTGCCGCTAGTACAGAAGCAGTTAAACTGACTTTGCAGCTCTTAGTACTTCGGACACCTCACACACGCACAAAAAGCGACCATAGCGCGGTTCACATTACCTGGCGAATTTCGATTGGACGCGCCGTAATCTGCAGTTTTTTAGCGTGGCAAAGGCATCCAAAAGCTAGTAGAGTACTCCACTTCAGAAAGCATCACGAGCACGATACGGTGTTCAGATCATGCCGTAAAGCTTTGGTATGTCATATTATTATTATATAGAGCGTCGTTTTGATGTGTATGGAGTGTTTGGACAATAATTAAAAAACTAATTACAGAATCCGTCAGTAAACAGCGGGATGAATTATTAAACCTAATTAATCCGTTATTAGAAAATGTTTACTGTGGCATCACATTGTCAAATCATAGAGCAATTAAGCTTAAAAGATTCGTCTAGCAAATTAGTCGTAATCTGTGTAATTAATTATTTTTTAATCTATATTTAATATTTCACGAAGTTATTCAAACGTTCGATGTGGCAGGGTAAAAAATTTTGGGTTGGGACCGCATAATGAGAGCAGTAAGCGAGCTGTCCAAAAGAGCAAGTTTAAGCAAAAGCTGTCCAAGCTGTGCATGACTCTGTACTGGAGTACCCTGTTCGCATTGCTGGCATCAGTTGCCAGCTTGTATGATTGTATCCCCTGACATGGCACCACACGCAGTAAAATCCAGAACGCATAATTTCGATATCATATGACGAATGATAATGCTGCAAATTGGTGATAGTACAACAGTTATAAACAGTTCGAAACAACATAGTACTCCAGTACTCTTACAACAGTAATACTGCTGTTCGTAACATCCTTGCAGCTGCAGCCCACAATTTTGAGCCCTTTTCCAGCTAGCAAGTAGTACGAGTAGTAGCTCACTTAAACCCGTGGAATTAGCGGTTGTTTTAAAACCACAAACCGATCTGCTTAGCTAAACACAATCACAAAGCTCGCAAGATCAAGATCGTGCCATCACTACAACGTCGACGTCACTGGCAGCTCACTGGGCGAGTCACTGAGTCACTGCCAGCTCAGCAAAAGCCAAAGTGTCAAGCTTACCACATCAAACCATTAATCAAAGATGAAAATCCCAACCTCAATGATTAATTTGCTCGTGGGCCCCACCCCACCACCTCCTCTCCCGCCATTGTTGCCCACACTCGCACGCATTGCTCCTCCTCCTCCTCCTCCTCGTCGCATACAAAAGACGCGCGCGCCTCGCACTACCAGCCGCTGCACCAACCGGGCCTCGCTTGCCCAAGAACCACCACCACCACCTCCTCCTCCTCATCCATGGACGAGCCACCTCTCCTCCTCGCCGCCGGCGAATAGCACCGGCGGTATATCCGATCCGATCATCTGGTGGTGTGTTCTACGGGTTGCAGCTTCTTTCGCTGGATATAGGGATCGATCGGAAGTTTTTTTGGGATATGTCGGCGGCGGCGGCGGCGGCGGCTGGGCAGGAGGTTAATCCGGGCGTTGTGGTGGCGGCGGTGGTGGAGGTGGAATGGGCGGAGTGCGCGTGCTGCGGGCTGAGGGAGGAGTGCACGCCGACGTACGCGGCGGGCGTGCGGGCGCGGTACGGCGGGCGGTGGCTGTGCGGCCTGTGCGGCGAGGCGGTGGGGGAGGAGCTCGCCGCTGCCGGGGGCGGCGCCGGGGACGACGGGTCGGTGGTGGTGGAGGTGGAGGCGGCGATCGCGAGGCACGCCGCCTTCTGCCGCGCGCTCGGCTGCAGGTCCCCCGCCGCGGCGGAGCGGCTCATCGCGGCGGTGCGGCGGCTGCTCCGCGGCGCCGGCGAGGGCGGCAGGAAGGAGAAGGCCAAGGCCGTGGTGGTGCTGGAGTTCCATGACGCCTGAGACGACAGATCGAAGATCTGTTGCTCTCCCATGGCGCTAGCTATAGCTAGTCCTAGCCTCTTTCTCTTTTAATTTGAATCTCTCTACCTTAATTGCTGCTTAATTTTCCTAGCTTGATTATATTTAGCTCGCAATAATTACGTGCTCAATTTGTACGCAAAATCCTGCAAGTTCTCCAGCTTTGTGTAACTGTGAAGGAATGGGAAACAACATTCTGGAGGACAATGAGAGATTGAGAGCTAAGGTGGAAAAAAGAATTCCATTTTTCTCTGTTCATGCTGCTCAATCCAATTTTGACATTTTTTTTTCATCTTTGTGTTATGCTTATGCTTGCCATGACAAGAGCATTGGGAGATCAAAGATTCTGTCCATTTCGGCTAAGATAGGAAGCATAAAAGAACTGAGCACATTGTACAGTTTCTTGGTTTTGGTTGGACTCTGAGACATAATTGTTGGAGCTCTGTCAAATTCAAGCATAATGTGACTCAGAAGCAAGCTGCTCTAGCTGGAGCATCTTAACACTAGCTATATATTCTCACCTTTTACGAGCTTTTACGCTGTATTTTGCACATTTTTCACATCACATCGCACGAGTAGAACCTTTGCCCAATTATACAGTTAGGTGCAGGTTGGATATATAATAAGTTTTTCACCATACAGAATATCATTAGTGCAAAAAATTCAACTTGCAGGTGTTTGAGCAGTGAAGCAAAGCAAAAGACCAATACCAAAACCAACCTGAAAGGCTGAAAACCGAGGCAAGTTACAGAATACAAAAATATATCCTACACTAGTGATTCAATTTCAAGCAAGATTTGTTCTTATCTGTTGGCCTGCAGGGGAAACCAGAGCCATGTTCCTCTATCATTTCTTCAGCCTGAATACAGAAAGAGGTTTAAACTAGCAAAGTCAACTTTTGCTTGAAATGAAAATGAACTCAAGAATGACCCTTTTTATTATAAAAACATGAGGATCAAGCTTGCAATGGATTGGAAACGCCGTTCATTAATTGCAACTTGAAATTTTTTAAGGGCGTCTGATGTTGATTCCAGGGTCGCTGATTGGCTGGAACAGATGCCAAATCTTCCAAGGTTTGGTGGGGTTGGATGGAGCGATAATCAGCCCAGTCGTGATGCTGATCTTCACATGCTCCAAAATGAACCTCAAAACCATCCCTAATCAACGCTCCATGATTTCTCCCCCCATAATTTTGTTTTTAAAAAATCGTCACTTAGCCGACACGAGGAATCAAATTCTGTGATTTTAGTGAGTGTTTGAGGGGTTTGGTTTGGTCTCATAATCAAAGAAGTCACCATCACACGCACATGCATGCAATTGAGTGTTGATAAACTGTCGGATATGAATAATACGATGTACTAAGCCACTGTTTAGTCGGCATATATGTAGCTCTACAATTTGCTGCTCATCAAGTCTACGAAAATCTGAAAACAGTTTAAACCTTTCAACTAAAGTAAATTGCACAAATCCACTGTAATTAGTTCAGTTACAACTTACAAGTGTGATTTATCACGAATTACTGACATGAGATCGACTCGTTGCAGTACCAATCATCATCGCTTCTTTGTCAAGCACTACACAAGTGTATACTTGGTGGAGTTCATTCATGATATGGCCGGCCGAAATTTCCCACTATTTCTTTTTCTGAACTTTTTAATCCAACCCCGAATTTACAATGCCTTTCCCGTACATGTTTTTGTTCTTGACCTGATAATAATTTATAGCGCCATTTCCATCAGGAAGCTGGACCACGCTGGATTAAAAACCATTTTTTTTGTGTAGCTTTCGATCGATCTTATCATGCCCAGATTCTTCCCTGCTCTTGCATAGTGTTCCTGGCATATTCGCGTTGTGCTCCTCATGATGGATCTCCTCACCTTTTGACGGCTTTGTTACCTAAATTATTCATCAGAGCGTGAGCTAATGCGTCGGCCGCGTTGGACACTTTGGCAAAATTACCTGATAATAACTGTGGGTTGGTTTGGTTTGTGATCTAAATAGACCTTACCAAATTTTGTCAATGCCAAATTTTGGCATGACTAATTTTGGTAAGGTAAAGTTATATTTGGATTGAAGCCAAAATAGTCTAAGTTCACTATTGAAACGGCCTATTTTCTTATGCATGCCAAAATTTGTCTTCAAACCAAATAGACACTAAACACTATTGAAATTGACAAATATTGGTAAGCCTAATTTAGACCTCAAACCAAATCAGCCCTGTATTAAAAAAAAGATTTGAAGGAAGAGATATCCCTCCAAACATTTTTTAAGAAGAAATTATAAACATGTTAAGAATTGAATATGATAACTCATAATTGAAACCACACACTCCCATTTCTAATAATAACTGTATTAATCATATGGATGTGCTGTGACATGGCATATAACCTTATTTTTTTGGAGAGGTATGTTCCAAAAACATGAGAGGATTAATTATGTGCAAAAAGGAGAAGGCAGTTTGTCAGTGATCACAAGTGTTCTTTTCTTTGCCAGGAGAAGAAAGCAGCTTGCGTTGGTGTTTATGTATCAGGTTGAGCTGCATTGATAGAGCCCCTCTTGCAACTTGTCTGATTAGATTTATGAGAACATGGACAGCCACTTGAAATTTAAGTAGGACCTTGAAACCAAAGAAATATCTTTCCTTGGCACCATGGGCAGAACCGCAGAATCTTCCAGAAGGTCCTAGATGGCGGAGCGGAGCCTGTTGGCGAGCTGTCAGCAGGCTGCAACTCTCCTGGCCTTCTGGGGTAGGTTAGGTAGACTGGTTTGTCATTACAGTGTTTTTCTTTTCCTAATAAATAATAAAGACACCTCGGGCTCCTTTGGAACAAAGGGTTTTAAAAATTTTGAAGAAATTCAATCATATGGAAAGCTTTCCACTAAGGCCCTTTCATCGAAGAAATAGTAAATACATAGGTATTTGGGAAAAAATTTAACATAATACCTAACGTCTTGAAAAAAAAACCCCCTGCCTATCTCTCTATAGTTTGTGTCTGTTTTCGTGTGCTTTATCCAAATAGTCACTCATGTGGCTTTTCTTCAATTAGTAGGATTTGAGGTAGCCCTCACAGCCTCTACATTTTACTTGTTTCATAATCCTGTGTTCTTTTTGTTTACTATGGTTTTGTTTTCTTTAAAAAAATAATTTCGTTGAAATAATCAAACTTAACTCGAATTTACATCATACAATCAAGGGTAAGAACAACACATCCCATTGAGTAGGCTTCACTAGAAGGCCTCATTTCCAAAGCTGAGCTAATGAAGGAGGGAGTTTATCATTGACATGTGAGGTTCATCATTTTTTTTTAAGATTGAAATAATCTGACATATAGGTCCCACGCTATCTCAGTCGCCACATCAGCTAAAACTATGATGAATATTGTCTTGGAACCAAATGTGACCCAGTTGTGTAAGTTGAGAGACGGGCGGTTCAGGGACGAATTTCAAACTCAACAACTAATTAAGGGACATAAGGTAAACTTAATCCCCGAGCATATGATCAGCCCAATCCAAGCATGGTTACATACGGCCCATTAGAGCAACTCGCGCGGTGTCCAACCCAGCAAGCAAAGGTAACCGAAGCCGCGTTCGCCTCCTTCCTCCTCGAGTCGTCAACTCCGTCTCGCAATTCCCAAACCGCACCTTCCAATCCTCCGAGCAGGCAAACCCTAACCCCGACGACCCGCGCCCCACGAAACCCCTCCCCTCCGCCCGAATCACTCGCTGCCACCCCCAAATTCGGCATGCCCGTCCCCGGAAACCCTAGGCACTGACCTCGCCGGAGATGATCTCGTCGGCGGGACCGCATCCTCGCCGGATTCGGCCCCTCGCCGCCGCCTCCCTCGTGCTGTTCCTCTTCCTGCTCTACAGCCGCTCCGGCGGGAGCTTGGTGCGGTCTCCACGGGTATTGAGCTTCGATTCGCATACGGGGCACCGTAGATTCCTCTCCGATGCCGATCCTATCAGCCCCGCGTCCAACCTGTCGGAGATCGGGGAGCTAAACGGCGAGCAGCCGCCGGTGGATCCCTCCGTGGCGTGCGCCGGGGTAGCGCGGCACGAGGGGTTCGGGTCCCAGTGCGAGTTCCTCCGGGCGCACCCGCAGTGTAGCTCCGGCGGGTTCGTCGACTACTTGGGCTTCTTCTACTGCCGGTGCGAGAGGTTCAGGGTGCTCGGCTATGCGGTGCTCGGTGTGTGCCTAGCGGCTCTGTTCTACATGCTTGGGAACACGGCCGCGGATTACTTCTGCTGCAGCCTTGAGAAGATGTCCGCGCTGCTACGGCTCCCGCCGACCGTGGCCGGAGTGACATTGCTCCCCTTTGGAAATGGCGCGCCTGATGTGTTTGCGAGTATTGCCGCGTTTATGGGGACCGGCGCTGGTGATGTTGGGCTGAACAGTGTGTTGGGCGGAGCGGTCTTTGTGACTTGTGTTGTTGTCGGAGCTGTGTCATTGTGCGTGGCGGAGAAGAATGTGCAGATTGATAGAAGATGCTTTGTGAGGGATGTTGGGTTCTTTCTGATGACTCTAGTAGCACTGTCGATTATTTTGATTGTTGGGAAGGTGACCGTTTGGGGAGCGATTATGTTTGTGTCGATTTATGTGGTTTATGCGTTTGTGGTGGCTGCAAATGAGGTATTGAGGAAGCATGCACGGAGGCTTAAGTTTGATGTGGTCACACCACTGCTGCCTGTGAGAGGGAGTATCTTTGCACAAGGAACAGAAGATGATGAGTCCGTGTACAGTTCACTTCTTGAGGAGGAATCAGATGGTGACGTGGCTCAAATAAACACATCCTTGCCTCAGTGGATGTGGGCTTCTCATGTGGCCATTTACTCAAATCATGGGATCAGAGGTGGTTCACCTGACAGTTCCAGGCCGCTATGGGGTTGGAGTGATGAAGAAGTGGATAATTCCACAGTTAGCTTCTCCAAGCTGTTCTTGTTTTTGGAGCTCCCCTTGACGATACCAAGAAGGTTGACAATTCCAATAGTTGAGGAAGACCGGTGGTCGAAAGAATATGCTGTTGCTAGTGCTGGCTTGGCGCCTGTTCTGCTGGCATTTCTTTGGAGCAGTCAAGATGGGGTATCCACTAAGGCTCACATAGCAGCATATGTGATAGCTGGTATTTCTGGGATGGCACTTGCTTCTCTCGCTTTCATGTTCACTGACCATGAACGACCTCCACGGAGATTTTTATTCCCATGGGTGTTGGGAGGGTTTGTGATGAGCATTATCTGGTTCTACATCATTGCCAATGAACTGGTTGCACTTTTAGTTGCTTTTGGAGTGATATT